CCCCCCTCCCTTTTCTGTGGCCGTTTGCTTTTTTGTTGTTGTTCTGCGAAGTGTTCAAAGTACTTTGCAACATCAGTGTGCAAGGAGCTGGAATACAATTCTCCCTTAGTGAGGAGGACTCCCTGCCCATCTTCTTCTGGCAGCTTCTCACCAGAGCCTCATGGAATTGAGCTGCAGGCACACGCAGCAACCTTCGCTGTCTTTGTTGAGGGGAAAGGTTAGCTGTGACCCTCGGATGGGCTGGTCAGTGCACATCCTATGCATCCTTCTGTGCTCTTTGACAGCTGGCCTCACTAGCTCCAGCTTTGAACACTGGCCTTTATTCCTCTGATCTCTCTCCCAAAGATGACCCATTAACCCACCAACACTTATTATCCTGGGAAAGGGGGCACACACTGTTGGATAAGTCTGGTTAAAAAGCTTGGTGCCACTCCAGGGAAGCACTGGACAAGATTGCTATAGAGGCTCCATTTGTTCATTTCCTTAGAGAAGAGAATCACCCAGGGGAAGGCAGAAAGAGTCACTTTTAGTGAGAGAAAAAACCTTTCTTCCTGGGCCTCAGGACTGAGACTTGGTGAATCCAGACAATAGCTGTCTCCGAGTGGGAAATTCTCCAACCAGACTACATGACAGGCCTGGAAAAATCAGCCTCCCTTTTTTTCTTGGCTGCTTGGAGCAGAATGAGTTTGTTCCTCCTTCTCCCCTGGGTGGTATTCCCAATGGATTAAAACTCTACTTTTATGATCTAAGCAAGAAGAACAGGACAGCAGCTGTCTTCCCAGCAAGGTTTCCAGGTCGTGTCTGCAGTGGAGCCACCATTTGCTGTGGCCCCAGTTCCCTGGACGTGGCCCCGGGCCGTCATTTTGGGGCTGACACACCTGTTCTGCTTCCTCTTTGCTTTCTCCTCATTTGTCCTGGAGCAAAAATGGGGCTGAGGGATTTTGCAGGATCCCTCTGGAAGCAAATAGCATGTGGCACATGTTGTGCCTGTCAGAGATCTTCCCAGCCTCAAAACCTACACAGGGCAAGAGTGCATGTTAGTTTGCAAGACGTTCTTTTCATGTCGGTGAAGAAGAGGGTGGATGAGTCAAAGGCCTGCCCATTGGTGAGATGAGTCTCCAGCAGAGGCAGATAACATTCCTTTGGCTTCCTCTACTCCAGGAGGGGTGGGGGCGAAGGCGAACCCTCCTGTGTGTGGGATAGGACCGCTGAGTACTAAGACACCAACTATCCCACCACACCTAAGTTTCCAAACATTTTCCCAAAGCCTTGCTGGGACTTCTGTCATTTTCTTCTCCAGCTAGAAATCGTGGTTCCCACCAAGGGAATCTCCCGTGTTCCTGTTTCTATACAGTACGGCAAGACACTTAAAATCCACCTGACATTCATTTCGAGATGGTTTGGGTTGCTGAATTATTAGCTACATAAAGAAAAACACAGGAATGTTGGAATTATATAAACTTGTTTTGGGGAATAAAGTTTGGAGCAAACTTGAATTTTATGTCCTGAAATGTAAAATAGAGAACCTGCTGGGGTTATAATAAGGATGAAAGGAAATAATGTAGATATAGATTAATAATACTTGGCTTATTGTAAGATCTTAATAAATATTGCTCATTATTATTGAAATTGTTATTTATTAGTTCAACATTAATACTAGATTTCTCATATATTAGCTACTATATATTGTTATACAAATGGCATTAATATATAATTATTTTATTAACTGTAAGTATTGTTAATATTAGGTTGTTGATATTTGGAGAGTGGAAGGCATTCGGAAATAGGTGAGGAACTGCCTCATCTGTGTCCCTTCTGTTTCATAGGCAAGTAGTCCAGCATGGCCGGCGTGGGGTACACGGGGACGTATGGAGCAGGCAAGCTCACAGATAGGAGGAAGGGTGCTTGGAGTGTTTCCTAAGCGTGACAAGAAGCCACTGGAGTGTACTAAGTAGGGAATGATCTCCTTTTCTCTACTTTTCACTTGTGTTTAAACATTCAAGGACATTAGCTAAAATAATGAGCTCTGGTCTTACATCCGTGGCTTAAGTAAAGCAAACAGTTGTTACTGTATTAATGACATTTAGAATGTTTCCTTAAAGCCCTTTGGGGAACACAAGTTCCATCAATGAACAGAGAAATGGCCCTTTCTCCACCTATTACCTGAAATATTGGGTGCAAACATGAAGTTTAAACTGGACTATGCCATTGGGTTCTGCAGCAGCTCTTGTGTTCATATGGCTGCCTTCCTGAAATGGGTCTGGGCCTGGGGTTCAGACCCCTGTGCACCCACCATTCTTGTTAGCAGGTGTCGCTGCCTGTCAGCCTTGCCACGTCTGCTTGTTTGTCAAGGGCTCCAACTTCCCAGACCCCTCTGCAGGCGGGACGGAGAGCACAGCACCAGATGGCACCCAAATGACTTTCCAGGGCCATTTGTAGAAATGCCACAGAGTTAAGAGGGTGCTGGAGGAAAGAGACCTCTGTCCACAACTTTGGAGGAACCCATGGAGCAAGGACACAGACCCAGGGCTAGGAGCAAGGGCTCAAAGCAACCTTGGAAATCTTTGCGGCCAGTACTGCTTAGAGAGCAAGGAGCTATCTGTCAGAGGCTGGGGTTTTGAACGGGTCACACCAGCTTGAATCATGAGGCAAATCCAATCCTTAGGTCAGTCTCCTGAATCTCTTTCTGAGCAGTTCCACTGATTTCTTTTTAGTTTCCTTGCCTGAAATCTCTCCCTGTCCCAGACTATCTTCTATACTGCTACCTGTTGAATTCCCGAATACAGAACCAATCCCATTACTCCCATGTTAAAAAAACAAAAACCCAGTGACACTTTATGCCTTCAAACACAGAATCTGGACACTTTGGCAGGGCTTGTCCTCTGAGTGCACACTCTCCTGGCCTTACCTCTTCTCTCTCCCTGCCTGTCCCTCCCTCCCTCTCATTCCACTCTCCAGCCACATCAGGGTAGAGGTGATTCCAGAATAGATGCCTACCTTTCCTGACTTGTACAGACAGCCCAGCAGGCCCCAGCTCCTGTCCTCTGCTGTGGGGCCCAGCCCCTACACTAACTCTTTGTGCTTCTTTGTCAACACCCCCCACCCTTCCCACCTTGGCCTTTCCGAACCCTTCTCTCACTCCCTTACTGTGCCCCCATTGTGCCGGGAACACAGCTCTATTTATAAAGCCTTTTCCATGTTGGTGTCCTCCCCCCGCTTCGGTGTGTGCTCCAGCGGGACAGGGTGGTGTCTTACTGATACCCCGTCCCCTTGTACCTTACGGGTGCCTAAATTATGCTTGCTGGCTGGCCAAGAACATAAACACAGCCTCAAAGAACATATGTTACCTTGAGGCTCTGCTTGGTGCTCAGGAAGGGAAGGAGAAAAACATGAGTTAGAGGGCAGCAGTTGCAACAGCAGTGTTCTAGGAATAAATTCTATTTTCTAAAAGTGTCGTGGAGACAATGTTACAAAAAATTGTTTCTGCAGATGGAGGGTGGTGTTTACTAAAAAGGCTTGTTGTCTCAAAATCCCCAAATACCTCCCGTTTGGTTCTTCCTTAACTTAGCTATTTTTTATCATTTAGTGGCACGCCATGTGTGGGGGTGGGGGCGGTGTCCTTTCTTTCTCTCTTTCTAATCAACAGAGGTGAGAATGGTTCACTTAGATTGCTGTACACAAGGTAGGCCCCACACTATGAGGACTTTCTGAGGTCTTGCTGCTCCTTAAGACAGCCAAGCTTACACAAGGTGACAAACAGCACTTGGAAACCTCTTTTCTCACAATATGTCCCCATTTTGTCTGCTCTCTGTCTCCCAACACAGACTCTTTGGTGGCTTTTCTTTTTCCCAGGATAAAGTGCTAAAACTGAGTGTCATAGGCCCCTCTCAGTTCTTCATAAACATGAAAGAGTGCACATAACACCACGTCACTACCAGGTGTCTATACACCAATGTAGAGCTCTGTAAATGGAGCAATTATGGGCAATGCCTTGATGTGACTTTGAAAAACTGTGCAACTGTTACGTTTTGATGTTTAGTGTTATTATAATTCAGGAATACCTAATTACTACCTTCTCCCCACCCCCAGAGAACTAAACAACGTTGACAGTTTAAATTACATGTTAAGTAAATTCACTCAGCTCTAGTAAAATATGACAAGTGATTGTAAGGCTCTGTTTAGCATTTTGTAT